TACTCTGGCAGGCCCTTCACCTATACACTTTCAGTGGCTTTACTCTCACCTTCCACACCCCAGCAGTTACATCCACAGTTTTATAACTCTCCACAGTGCATCCTTGACTCTGTACATGCAACATTTTGCAGCCTTTTAAAAACATATTATCGTACCCTCACTATGTATGCCAGAATACCACATCCATTTATTTCTCACTCTCCTGTCTTCAGGACTTTCTCCCTTCCTCCCTACATACTCCCATCCTGCCCCAAAAGGAGGCCCATTTATTCCTTTTTTCATGATACAGTTCAGTGTAGATGCACTCTATCTGCAAAAATAAGAGTTACATAATCTAAAATAGAATAATTAAGCAAGAAAATTATACATATTTCAACACGTGTATACCATTTACATAAGCTACATACAAATTCCAGAATCACAGAATGTTAGGAGTTGGAAGGGACCTTGAAAGATCATCTAGTCCAACCCTTGTTTTCTCCCTTCTTATTGGTTCATTCCTCTTTTTGTCTCTATTTCAAGTTTACTTTGTGGCAAGAGCACAATTTTATTAGTCTGTGCCAACACACATACAATAATAGTGATCAATATCTAGTAATGAAAATGTACTAAAACCTTCCACTGCAAGATTATCAGCTGCCTGTGAGACCTCAGTCTAAGCACCCATGTCAACAGTATGCTGCCATTTTACTTGGAATGTACATTCATTTGGGGTCTAGGTTTGTTGCTCAACTTTCTTTCCTAATGCCTTATGAATTACTTTTACGGTTCATTTTGTTTTCTTGTTCTCTCTGGATTTCTACTAAATAAAAAAGGCAGGATTTCAACCTCAAGTTTTTAGCAAGATTTAAAGTAGAGTTTAATTTGCCATGTCCAAATACTCTGACTAAATTAACAAAAAAGTTTCTGCTAAAAAACAATTACACAGACAGTCCTGATCTCAGTGCTATGGAAAACACACACATTTCAAACCAAGCAATACCTTTAGGTGGATGAAGCTTGTGACCTGTTTTCTCACACCATCCAACAGGATGGATGTCTGAAGAATCAGCGTTCACCCAGAAATCGTAACAATCAGGGTATCCATCAAAATGGAGTCGTACTCTGTAGCCACAAACCTAAAAGCAAGAATGTACGACATACAGCACTATGTTTTAATATGTGTGCCCTATACACAGCAACTTCTGTTCAGTTTTACGTCTATTAACAATGCGCTTTCAGTATTTTACCTCTGCTGAAGCCAACGCTGGATGAATAAATTCATTTGATAAAAATGAAAGAGTAAAAAAAGCAAAGCTATTCTCAGTCCGAGTGCCTCCTCTTCTGGTGAAAAGAATTAACTAAAAGCTGGATATTGCCATTAGTGTTCAAAAACTTGAGAACTGTTCAACCCAACACCAGAATAATACAGGAACAGAACAGAAGAGCACGAATACATCCAATACAATCATGGAGAAAGCACAGATAATGATGCTCTCAAGCTATCCCAATTAATCAATATGCAAGAGAGCACTCAACAATAACTATGTTCAACAGGCACTCCAGAGAAATACTAAGAACTGTTATTAAAGATAAGAAGTCAATGGAGGTATCCCCCAGAATGTCATTATTCCATAAAGTAAGAAGTTAACCACTGAGAGGAAGAGAAAAACAGGATATATAATCTCTCTCTCTGTAGAGAAGACACATCTTCCTCAGTGCCAAATGCCATAACCTCCCTGCAGTCATCAGCAAGAATCTCTTGACATCAAGGTCAACCTATGTTACATTTAATTGATACTCTGACATAATTTTCAGTTTGTCATCTCAGAATTAAATGGAATTCAGGTCATCCCGCGGTAAAACATAAGCCACCACTTAGTGCCAAGCACAAGGTACACAGGAAATACTCAACAACTAACACACCATCAGCAAGCAAATGGAAGAGATATCCACAAAAATGGCATATGACTGTGGGCCAGAAACGAGAAAACAAAAGCCTCGGCTATAAAAATATAAAATGCAAAATTACAGCTGTTTAGAATAACAGTGATACAGACAAGAGTACCTATGCTTTTACTGTTTCCCCATTTTAATGCACAAAACAAAACCAAAAAAGGATTCTTGGTAAAACTACATGAAAACTAACATAAGGTATGTTTCAAAGACAAAAAAATGTAACTGAGAAATAGTTTCTCATTTATATTACTGAAAGCAAAGAAACTACTTATTAAAAAAAATACTTCATAAACTGCAGCAAAAAGACAAACTGAGCTTATATATTATACTAATTTGTAGAAGTTGCCAATACAGGCAATTTCTGAGGCCATCAGCCTGAAAAAACTGCAGCACAATTGAAGCACAAAAAAGTGTTAGGTATTTTTGACATAAAACCACTGTAAATCAATTGTAATGCTTATGCTTTTTCTACTTATTTTGTCTTTAAAATATAAACTACAAAATTACATAAAAACATCATCCAACTATCATAATCCATTTTCTCTAGCTGCATACAGTAAATGTTTGTAAACAGTCACTGCTGCACGGTACTGGATGTAGTCAAGTGTTTGTCAGGTAGATTTAATACAGAGTTATTGATTTAAAAGCTGTCTTCCTGCATACAGTTTCTGTCAGCCTGCTAGGGAAGACCAAGCAGCTTATGCTGCTGGTGTCCCAGTTCAGTCTCTCCTGCAATCCCCCGCCATGGCTGCTCACAGCCTCTCCTTACCTCAGCCACCGTGAGAACACAGTATATCGACTGGTGCTCGGGATCCACACCCTCCAGTTTCATCCCTACTTTGAAGCCATTTTTGTTGTATGGGAAAGACTGATACTGCAATGGAAAAGAACAGTTTCAATACATAACTACCCTTATATTAGATTACAAGAAGAATACATGTCAAAAAAAAAGAGAAACCAAGGCTAAGCAGGAAGGATATTTCAATCAGAAGACATTAGCATCCCGTGTATCATGCTCCTTGATTTCTGTTAAAGAAGGAAGGAAGCTAACAGATACTTAAGTTAAATTGGAGGGAATATTGAGAAAACAAACAAACAAACAAACATAAGAATAAAGATATGCAGTCAAGGGAAAGGGAAATGGAGAACCAGACCAGTTTAAATGAGCCTGAAGTGGTCAGCTAATAGATGTCTACACACAGCTCTAAGTCCCTATCTGAAAACAGGTTAGATCATTTTGTAGATCCCAGTTAAGGGATCAGAGTATCTAACTGCAGCACATGCATTTATAAAGTTATTTCATCCTAGAATCACCACACTTAACATTTTCATTATCAATGAAAGTTTAGTGAAGTTACAGTATGCATAATTCTGGATGCCTCCTGAAGAGGAATGTAGAAGCAGAGCATTTTTTTTAAAATCAATAAACAGAAATTTCTAAAGTTCATCTTGGTGCACAGACTTGCAGTAAATGCTATCTATATCATAAATATCTCATGGATAAAAAACCTCAGTGGAAAACTGAAATGCTAGAAATACTGAATCATTGGCCACATTGACATAGTGGCCAAAAATGTGAGATTTTGAAAAAGCAAGCACAAATAAAATTACAAAGAAAAAAAGTCATGGATCTGTTTATTCTTTCATTATTATAATAAACATTACCGCACAAACAGTACAAAATTCTACAAGCAATACGCTAAAAATTAAGCTGTTATCACACAGCTATTTCCTGAAATTTAAGACATGAACTATTCACTATTCTTTCCATTGTCAAATATAAACTTCAAAGGCAACAAAATCTTTAGCTTGGTTTCTGTTACAGTAAAATAGCAGGCAATTTTTAGAAGACCACTAACTTTCTAATCTATTTAACAGATTTCAATTTTGTCCATCATTCTCAATACATCACCCAGGGTAAAGCTATGACAAACTTAGTAATCACACATTATTTTTACAACAAACATTTAAAGATACTTTGTTAAGCAGAGATACAATAACAAAATAAGAATAAAGGTAAAAGAAGTCAGCAAATGAGCAGATGGCAGTCTGAGGATCAGAAATGTTTATGTATGGTGCAAGACCATACCAAAACCTGAAAGATTCCATCAGGAGAGCTGGAGATTGAAAAAATCCAAAACTCAAGGGTCAATTACTTCGTTTTACTGGAGCAATACAGCTTGTCAGTCACAGCCTAGAAATTTCTCTAAGATTTAAGTACAAGGAAGTGACAAGGACTCTCGATTATCTTGACCATTCCTAACTAAAAGTACAAAAAAGTACCATGAAAAGTACTGCTTCTGAATTGGAAAAAGAAGAGGAAAAAAGAGTAACTCTCACAATCCAAACAGAAATCAAGGATTCAAAATCAGTGTTGACATTTGGGGGTTTTTTTAACCTTACTGTTCCTGTGGCTTGCTTGTCCATCTGCAAAATGGAGAAATACTACCTGTCCACTTTTGAGTGCTATTAAGAATTCTCTCACCACAACAGGCTTTAAATACTGCACACTAACTAAAACCCTAGAGTTACTCAGAGGCTAAAGACATTAAAAAAATAAAATAAAATAAAATAAGATGCACCAAATAAGAAATGTATACTGTGGAGAAAAATACAGTACATCATCATGTAAGTCCAGACTACCACCATGTGCAGGGCTGGTATATGCCTGTGTGCCACAACAGCATTTCATGGAACCTCAGACAGGCAGAGCAACGCTTTGCAAATCTACCTTCCAGATACAGACATCACTTACACAGATTTTTTTCTTCTCAATTTTTCAACTAGTTTATAGCAGAAGGAATATAACTAAGGATGGTCAGGTGGCTGCTGCTGTTGTGCTTACTAATCTATGGATTCACTACAATGCAATCCTCGTTATTTT